ACATCACCAAGCGCGAAGCGCCGTGAGGTATTCGGCGAGTCGCATGAAGGGTGCGCTGCATCCTGATAAGGGTGTTCGGCATCTTGTGCTTACTTCCTTGCGACAGCCGCGCATGACTCAATTTATTTTCTGGTGGTTCACTTCCACAGACAGTTGTAAGCACTGTGTAACTGCCTCGAGGGTCTTTGACCATTTCAACACAACGTGGTACGATCATCCCCCTTGCGCGGAGTGAGGGTTCTCGACCCCGCACAACATGATCTACTCGACCACCATTATGGTTACCGCCAAAAAAAAACAGAGGTGACAACAAAACGGTAACCCGGTTGCCGAGTTCACGAAGTGAATTGGCTTGTTTTACAACGTCTNGGGGGGGGGGGGGGGGGGGGGGGGGGGGGGGGGGGGGGGGGGAGGGCGGGTAGTCGGGCGTTCCCTACGATATTATTCATCGTATCATCTACCACGTCTTATTATGAAATGATTTTTCGTGGTTCCTTTAATATCGGCTGACTGCCCCCCCCTGCCTCCCCCTGCCCTCTCAAACCAACCAACCAACCAACCAAAGGTGTGCACAGTGCTCCTGTTCCTGTTCGTGGCGGCGTGGCCCTTCGCGCCGATCCTGGTGCACTGGAAGCCGTGGGGGTCACAGGCCACGCTGGCCTTCCTGCTGCTGCTGCTGACGCTCGCATGGGTGCTGGTCGCCCGGTCCCACTCCATCTTCGCCGCCCTGCTTTCGTCGTGGCTCACGCTGGCCCTCACGGGCCTGACGGCCTGGGAGTACACCACGGAGCAAGTGCGCCTTCACCAGTAGTGTTATCACGAGAAACTCTTCGGCCGTTCACATCGGTGTGTGTTTGGTGTGTAATTTCTTGGTTAGCATCGACCGCGGCTGGCCAATGAAAAGACGTTAGCGGGATTCAAACAGAACACTTTTTCTATTCAAAAGAGTTGGGGGGGCGCAGGAGTTGGACGACAGAGTTGTGCTTCTTCTGAAGTACGAGAGGGCTCAATGCCAAAAGACAGCATTGTTGCTGCATCATCTCGCTCTTGCATGCTTGCGTCAGTTTGTGCGTTGCGCGCGCAAGTCTTTCTTTTCCTGCCTGGCAGGGTGTGTCCTTCCTTCTTCTCCCTCCCCTGGCGCGTGAGGGTTTGTAGAAGAAACCGTTTTTTTTTGTTGAGGAAGTTGTGTTTTCGCGTGTTGTAGTAGAAGCGTGTGTTGGATTCGGCGCCTCAACATCTGTGTAGGTTTTCTCACGCGTGTAGGCATACGCGTGCGTGCACTCCCATCATGTCTCGTCTGTCATCCCCTTTGAGAGTACACCCAATTCGCATCACGACGCGAGGGTGCTTTATGTTCAGTCCTCCGGCGACTTGCTCGCGTGAATCTGACAGTGCCGCGCGGGGCGGGGGTACAGACACTCACTGGCAGCACGCGTAATGTAGAACTTTACGGGAGGCTTTGCGTCGTCGCCCGCTTTGTTATTTCGGGCCCGTAAGGACGCGTTTGGGATGGGTGTGTGTATCAGTACCCGTATGTACGTTACCTCTGCCTGCGGTAGAAGGTTGATAGAGGAGGGTTGTTTTTAGACGCTGGTTCATGTTGCTGGTGCCGTGGTGGGTTGGGCATTTTAACGGTGCTGCTGTTCATTTCATGACGCATCGACAGCGAAGGAAGGCATGTGTTCCCATTATTCGGGCGCATCTTTTCTCTAAGCGTAGAGAGGTAGGCGCGGGTAGCTCTCCGCAAAGCGACAAATAATGGAGGTTGTTGCCTAGAGAGTCGATGAGGGCAAAGGATGTTATCACCCGTTTTTCGATTTCCTACCACTCTGATGTAGTCTGCTTTGTTCAACCCTTTTCGTTTGTGTTAACCCTGTCAGCAGGTAGCTTGTACTTCAGTGATCGCGAGTAAAAACGGCGGAGTGTCAGACCGTCAGGCTGATGACGATTGATTGTGATCTTGCTCTGGGGTCTAATACTGGTAGCTGCGGTCGGCGGCACCTGTCTGTGTGTTCGTGTGTTTTTTTTTGCTGGTTGAAGTTTGGTTTCAACACAACAACCGTTCCTTGGATGTATGACCTCGTGCTGTCAACTCATCAAACCTGGTTAAAACCAGTTCTAAGCACCGTTGTTTCTTGAGCAGCGGTTTCCGTGGACAAATATTTTGTTTGCTTGTTGTTCGGCCCGTACGCTGTGGAGTATCCTCCGTGCTTAGACACTCACACCACTATGCGTAGACGTTGGGGGCCAACAGGCAAAAACGATAGACATTTTGTGGCATCATCGATGTTGCTACCGACACCACCGTCGACCCAGTGTAGGCTGCACAGATCTATCTAACGTCGTTGTTGAAATAAACGTTTCTTTTCTTGAGGCCGCGGGGAGTTGACCGCGTGAAAAAACAATTAACAAATCACATGCATACAAGCCTAGGTTGTTGCACCCTTATCGCTTCGGGCCCCACAACATGTGTTCAACTATGCATATAACTCTTGAGTACAGTATTCATGATAAGTATAGGCTTCAGTGTGTGCATCCAATGCTTTGTGTGTTCCTACAGTATTCCTGGTAGACCTCGGTACAATAGTGGGCAGAAAAAAATAATTTCAGGAGAGCGACATTTCTAACCGTAGGCATTGCCTGCCCCTGCATCAAATCCTGGCCGCCTGCACTATTATTGGACCCGACCCGCAGATCAGGTACATACGTAGCCGACCATCAGGCAGCCGAACAAAAAACTCGTAGTAATCTGTACACTGAGGAGTTGGCCATCTTACCGATAACTAGACGCCGGAGTAGCTCAGTCGGTAGAGCGCAAGACTCTTAATCTTGTGGTCGAGGGTTCGAGCCCCTCCTTCGGTGCGTTTTTTCTTTGCTGCTGGTGTCTCGTTGCCGTTAACACGCACAACTTCGGCGAGCGCTTTGCTCTCGTTTCTACATAATAGATAGGATGCTACTTTGCTTGCTCTACCTGTATTGCGTTTCTTGGTTGTAAAACGATAACTGCTCTACATTCTTATCGTTACCATCTCTCACATTACTCTAGTTCAAAGGCATGCACCCACACAGAGACATTATTTTTTTCACTCTGTCACCGAGTTGGAGTCACTGCTGACGGGAAAATGGTAGTACTGCAGTAGTAATGGGGGGGTGGGGTATAGGGAGCAAGGAGTCCCCCAACGGGCCGACAAGCAACGCACTCTTTGTCGTACCGTTTGCACAGCGATTGAAAAAGGAGGGTAGAACGTGAACCTCGGGGGAGCGAAGGCTGTTCATCTCCTTTTCGTCCACTTCGGCATCGATCTGGCTAGCTCGCTCTTGCCCAGATGGCCGACTGATCTACATGGGAGCGAATTCGTTGCGTGTTCGCGCAAAAATTTAAATTTGAAAGCCGGCGGAGCTCGGAGCTGTTTCGATCTCTGGAACGGGGGGGACCTACTTAGCGCGTGTACACCGGGTGCGTATTCCTCTGCGCCCTGCTGCTAGTGCTGCTTGAGTTGAAGGCTTCAGCGGGGAATCAATCTTGGAGTACGGCGAGCAGCGGACACAGCAATGTTCCAGCAGGCGCTCAGCAGCGACCAGGAGCCCAGCGGCGGCGGCGGCAGCAGCGGCAGCAGCAGCAGGCCTAGCCCTCCGCTCAGGAGTGCGTCCGGGCGCGGGTTCAGGAGGGGGTCAACGTGGAGGGAGTCGAACGCCAACGGACCGCCTCGGCGCATGGAGGTCTCGATCCCCCACAAGAGCCTGAAAGTGTTCGCCCAGGCCGTGCAATGCTTGATGAAGGTGAGAGCGGCGGGAAGATTTTTGTGTTCGCACAAGCACCGCTTGAATACATTCTACACATGTCTTACACAAACATGTCCATGCGGCAACAGCTGTGGTCTACCGAGAGACGCACCATGCCGACCGTTGGCAGTGCCAGCACATGGGAACCGATCGGGTTCTGTTCTTTCATCATATCTCGCCTCCACTCTGTAGCCAGTACGATAGTACACCCGACCCCGCACACAGCGCAGACGGCTTGTACACTGTAGAGTCCAAACTACTGCTTTAAGGGTACCCGGACAACCTCCTGCTATGTTGCCTAATTTCGAAAACAAACGCAAGAGCGCCAGAAAATGCACTAGAGACACATAAGACCAGTCGGAAGGCATCGCAAAAAAAACAAGTCCAAAATTCTGGCACAGGGCAGCAGTAGAGACCGCTCAAAACGTGCTTTTCGCGCGTCTACCTCCACACGCATCCTTTGAAACCAAGATAAAAATCCACACCAGTCTAAATTCAAGTCAAAAGAGCCCAAACGGAAGGCGCTCAAATAAGGCCGGTGTTGCTAGGAACCTGGTCCATTGTACCAATATCACTAGAGGACACCCTATAGCAGCGGGGGGGTGTGTTGGCGCGCTCAAAACTTCTTCTGTGGTGGTGGTATCGAGTGTCGTTGTAGTGGCCCACAATCTCCGCAAATCTCCGCAAGTTAGATCGACACCCAGTGTCTTGTACTGCTTGTGCTCGCCGCCACTGAACCCAAATCTTCTGATTTGCAGGTTTACAGCAGTAGCTGATGCCACCAGCTACTGCTGACAACCCGCAGTTGAGGGGTTTGCGGTCCGTGGTGGTGAGCACCGCTGTGACAAGTGTTGGGTTCCGCTTGGTTCCGGCGCAGATTTCGGACCGTTTTCAGAGGCTGCTGCGACCTTCGATATTTCAGCCCCAGTAGTATACCTGAACGTGCCAGCACGCACGACGCCTCTTGATGATATCCTCTACTGATACTAGCACAACGGACCAGGTTCCTCCGGCGGGAAGGTTGTTCTCTTTCTTTGTACTGTTATAAAGTATGAGAAAAGAGCCAGCGTCAAAATCCCTTGTCTGGGTACCCTTAAGCTATCAATCTTACAACTTCCTGGTTTCCTCATCTGTATGCCAGGTGCTGCCTGTACCGTAGAGGGCACATGGTCTCGCGGAGGTATTTATACATGTTCCTGGCTCTGAGCTCCGAGAAATGCCTCCGTAATTTGATGTTGGGTGTGTCTTCATCTGGACATGTGCGTGGGAGCAGCACGGGCGGTTTGTTCTTTCGCGATCGCGTACGGCACTGTCAAGGTCAACGCCAAAAGGGGTTCAGCTCACGGGGGGAGGGTGTGTGTGTGTAACGTGGGGTGCAATCCCAATCTGGTTGTGCTCTTGCAATTGAAGTTTTAGTTTGTCTTATTTTGCTCCACCCTGGAGCCAGTTCCTTCCCACTTGGTACGGGCAGCGAAAAGCCTCATCCCACTGACCCTGTTGGACAATCACAACAGCAGTCTTTGCCCCCCTAGCCCCTCAAAATCTGGGTGTATTGCAGGGCCTCTACCTGGGTGTCACTTTCACAGTAACACATGCTCTAAGGGGTGGAGCTCGTAGCCGCATCTTCAAGTTGACGAGCGAGAGAAATCAATCATGTCGAGACCGCTCCCCTTGCTGCTGCTTCTCGCGCCGTGCAGGTTGGCAAGGAGCTGTTCATCGAGACAACCGGAGACCAGCTGATCCTCCGCACGCTCAACGACGCCAAGTCGGCCTTCGCCGCCTTCTATTTCAGCGACTCCGGAGGTTTCTTCGAGACTTTCAGGCGAGGGACGGGGTGCAGCAGAGTTCAGCGGAATCCA